AATGACATCTGACGTTATAAACAAATCTACGTAAAAAACAAATCAAAAATCAAAAAACAAAAAGCCGTTTAGTTTACTAGTCCACTGTGTCAAATAAAGATAATAGGAATTTTTTTGAATGTTGACACTGAGATACGATTTCGTTTTTTTTATTCAGTAGGTTTTTTCCATTATGCGATAAAATTACATATTTTTCATAGAGACAAAGGTGGCATATTTTTGTTGCTAGATTGTAAGGTTTACAACGTTTGACAATTTTCCATTCTATAATGGGCTTTATGCTTTGGTCTTTTAAGCTCCATATTTCCTTAGATAGTTCTGTGTCATTTCTATATTTAACTGATGCAAATGATTTGAGATGGTTTGCGTATCTTAGTTTAAATGGTGTATTACTAATGCCAAAATATACTTTTTTATTAGGATCATGATGACTGGAACTTACGGTTGCTTGATAGACAATATTGTTAGATAACATTGATTGTTCAAAGGGCAAAATGCTTTATCTACGCAGTTACATTGGTTGGTTTTTAATTGATTTTTGTTGTGTAAAATTTTGAAATTATGCGAATTTATGATAGATTTTAGATTAGGCATGCAACTGTAGCTAATCTTAATAGAATTTCTGTTGAATTTTTTATGTAGCTTGTAACCGGCTGGAAAATGTTAGTCAAAATAGGCTAGAAAGTGGTTTCCTATTTTTGTTTTGACGTTTAAGCTGAATGGAGGGTTATACCAAATAATATTACGTTTATGTTGCTTTTTTTGTTGATTTTGATTTGAGATTATTTGTGGTTGTTAGGTAATGTTCGATTTGTATCCCGATTTTTTTAAAGCCTCTTCATACGGTGGAATAGCCTTTTTGAAGAAATTTTTATTAATTGACATGGAAGATAATCTTTGTTCAATATTGCGAGGGATTGCTTTTATTATGCTTGGAGGGTGGTTAGAATTAGAGTGGATGTACCTTATTTGATTATCAGGTTTAAAATATGGTTGAAACGTATCGTTACTTAGATTTAACGTAACATCGAGGTAGTTATCGAGGTAGTTAAAATGAGTGCTTTTTGATTTTTTCCAATTGCTGACCGTTTTTGTTCTTGAATACAGCTAGACTGTCGTCACGATATAGGCTGAAATCTTCTTTATTATAATGTTGTGAAATTTGATACAGTATGAAAATACCTATTAATTCGCAAACTTCAGCACCATCAAATGCCCCCATTGTTACATCGAACAACCCACCTCTTTTTTTAATCCATGCTTTATCGTTGTTGAAGATAAGAGATTTTCTTGCATGCTTTATTAATGCTTTGTCTTTGCTTTTGATAACGATATGATGGTCAGCAAAATTCATAGCATTGTTGAGGGTGCTTTCCTTTATGGGTAAAAAATTTCCTTTATGGGTAAAAAAAGGTAAAAATCGTTAACATCAAAAACTAGGAATTTGTATAAGTGCTTATTGGTGATTTTTTTAAACCAGTCTAAAACATTTTGCGTACTTTGCCATTGATTCAAAAAAAGTTTATTTTTAAGTTCACAATTAATTTTTGTTAAAATTACCTTAGAAGTTCGTCCTACCTCATTTTTTGAAGGGTTCAAAAGGCGCACAGATGGATTGTTAGCGAATATATAATATATATGTATATATATATGTATATAATATATATATATATATATATATATATATATATATATATATATATATATATATATATATATATATATATATATATATATATACATATATATATAACATATATACATATATATATATATATATATATATATATATATATATATATATATATATATATATATATATATATATAGATAGATATATATATATATATATATATATATATATATATATATATATATATATATATATATATATATATATATATATATATATATATATATACAGGCCTTGCGATAAAGCGTCCGGCGATGTGAATTTTACTTTGTTTAAGAGCAATTTTGCGTGTAGCTAGGGCTATTTGCGTCGAGCAAAAAATTTTTTGTTTGAGTATATTTAAAGATATTTTTGAGCGGAATTTTAATGAAGTAATTTACGATTATTTCAACATTTAATAAAGTATTTTAAAAATCGCATGCTGTTGATAAAATTTTGAATTACAAAAAAATTAAATATGATCATTATTTACAAGTAGAAAAAATTCAGAATAAAAAACTAGTTTTAATTTTTTAAAGCTAACATTTTAATAAAATAATTTTGCAATAGCAAAGTTGTTGATAAAATTGAACAAAAATAATAACTTATTGTTGATAAAATTGAACATAAATAATAAATAAAAACTTTAAATTACATATTTGAGAAAATCAAATATTAGCATATTTTATAGTGTTTTTTATTCGTTTAGTAGACAAAACGTGTCAAACGTCGAGAAAATAAACCAATGTTTTTACATTTTAAAAAACAAAACATACCAAAATATTTTTAAATAACATTTCTACATTAATGATTTAAAATATTTTTAAATAACATTTCTACATTAATGATTTAAAGTAGTTTTGCGGTAATTAAGTAAATTGGTGCAATTAATGTCGATAAATATGAAAAGCAAATAAAAAGAATTTAGTGACGTCAAAAATCACACCGTGCTTATGCGTCGCGCAGTTTTTATTCATCACAAGGCCTGATATATACATATATATACTTATATATATATATACATATATATATATGTATATATATATATAAATATATATATATATATATATATATATATATATATATATATATATACACATATATATATATATATATATATATATATATATATATAAATATATATATATATATATATATATATATATATATATATATATATATATATATATATATGTATATATATATATATATATATATATATATATGTATATATATATATATATATATATATATATATATATATATATATATATATATATATATATATATATATATATATATATATATATATATATATATATATATATGTATGTATATATATATATATATATATATATATCAGTGGTGTACTCTTATGGTCATCCGGTGGCACCTGACAACTTGTTTGCTCCAAGGGCGACTGAAATTTTAAAAAATGTCTGTCAATAGCCTGGCAGAATGACCAGATAGTTCGTTACTTAGAAAAGCGTGTTTATAATAAAACTATATTTTAATTTTTTTTTTATTTCAATTCACCTCCTCAAGGCCGAGAAGGCCACTACAGACGAGGAGGCTACTTAGTTGTGGCTATAACCCTCTCTCAACTCTATAACTCCGAAACACGAACCTTGATGAACAAGGTGGCTGCGCGGAGAAACGAGTTGAGCGCGGTACTACCAGGGACGTGGTGGGGATCGAACTCGGAACCACTCGTTTATGAAACAAGCGCTCTACCACTACACCACTACCGCATAATTGAAGTAGAAAAGCATCTAGAAAAATAGATTGGATATTCAAATAATATTTAAAACTTATTAAGGAACTTAAACACGTATAAAAACGTACAGTATAAAAAGTTTAGAATTATGAGAAATGTTACTAATGGTACGCAAAAGTGTTTTATAAAAACTTTATAAAAACGTACTTTATAAAGTACGTTTTTTTAAAGTTAAGTAATTGTAAAAATTCTTAAAGATTATAATAATATTTGAATATCAAGAGCAGCCATGGCGCATTGGTTAGAGTTTGTCGCCAACAAGCAGCATTGGTATGGAAGGAGGCGTGAACCTCTTGTCAAATGCTCTCCCTCTGTGCACTTTGATAAGACCGTAACAACTTCTTAGAGCACCTAAAATAACTGCAAAAAAAATAAAAATATCTACTTTATATTTTCTAGATGCTTATCTACTTTTATCAAAGATTGAAGTTACTAATGTTGTTTGAACAAAGAATGAACTTTAAAAGTTATAAGAGCTTTATAAAAGTAATAACGCTATTACAGTTTTATTACTTTTATAATGAAGTTAGTGACTAAAGTGTTGTTACTTTTGCAGCCGTAGGTTTTTTGTTTTTTATATCTTTTTCCCTAACAAACTTATAATAATTATATATATATAAAAACTAAATTTTTAAAAAATATCATTAGTTTCTCCTGAGAAAAAATACAAAAAAAAAACTTTTACACTGCACTACTGATTATCATAGCGGACAACTCAAATGAGAAATAGAAACGATTTCAGTCGCCCGCAGGAAGACTTGGAAAAATCCGGAGGGTACACCACTGATATATATATATATATATATATATATATATATATATATATATATATATATATATATATATATATATATATATATATATATATATATATATATGTATATATATATATATATATATATATATATATATATATATATATATATATATATATATATATATACAGGGCTCGAAATAGCCGCCGGACATCGGACATTGTCCGACATTGGTCCGGTAAAAATCATCATAAATCGGTCATTTTGTCCGACTAATATTTTTTGTGAAATTTTCTTAAAATTATTTTAGTTATTTAAAAGTTATTGAAATGTTCAGTATATTATATATAAACTTTCTTTTTTATTTTATTTTTTAACCAAAAATGCCCAAGAAAACGAAAGTGTGCACAATGTGATGAAGTTCGTCATTCTTTGAGATAGTTCAGACAAAATGGAAACAGTATTATGCCGCAAGAATTTTATTTAATGAGCAACGCTTTTTTTAACGGGGGTTAACATCAACACTTTTTTTACATTTTTCTTTTACATTTTTAAAATATCTTCCCCGTAAATATTAATATTTTGTAAAAAATAAAATTAATACAACATGTTACGTTTTTAATAGTTTTCTGTTTACTGTGATTTAATTTTGAATTTGAAATTTTCGTAAGGTAAAGCTATTTGTTACTTTTAATTAAACTTATTTCTTATCTTATTCAATTTTGTGAACAGAAGTTTTTTTTTTATAAATTTAACAATAAATATATTAATAAAATGTATAATTATATGAGTATAATTATGTATTTTATTAATATAATTATTCACATATAATATATATAAGTTTAAAATATTTATGATAATGTGTTGTCATTATTCCAACTTAGGGCGTAATATTAAAAAAAAATGGAAGCAGTTTGCTCAGTTTGTCGTGAAAGAAATACAAAGTATACATGCATGAAATGCGCTGTTTTTGTTTGCAATATTTGTGCAACTCCGGGAAAAACTGGCGACTTATCTTATAGTGAGGAAATTAAGAGAATTGCCTCATGTTCAAAGTGTTCAACAGTTGAGCCACCGAAAAATAAAATTCAAAAAACTATATTTTCTTTGTTTAAACCACTTTTAGAACAGTCGCCTGCAGCTAAGTCTATAAATGAAAAAAATGCCAAAGAAGAAACAAGTAAGATCACGGCAAATCCTCGTAAAGTATCAGTATCGACAGTAGAAACTTGGAAGTCGGAGCTCGCTGAGTATTCACTTAGCGAATGGCTATTTTATGACATTGATTCAAATGAAAGAGTAAAAAACTTAAAATGCAAGTTTTGTACAGAGTTTAATGATACAATAAAAACTACGCCATACTATACGAATACATTCATAGTTGGATCAGCAAACTATAGAAAATCGAATATTCTTGATCATTGTAAGTCTCAACCGCACTTAAAAGCATACACTCTTTTTCTTAAAAAATCTAATAATTTTCAAAATGCATCTAAACCTTTATTGCCCTGTAAAAATAACGCAACAATCACTGATGGTTTGAAAAAAATGGAAAAAAACGACCTTGAAAAAACCCTTAAAAAATTTCAACTTTCTTACTTTATAGCGAAACAACAGTTACCTCTTTCAAAGTTTGTTCCAATTGTTAAATTAGTTGAGCTTTTCGGTGTGAATATGGGCGAATCCTATATTTCAGATCGCCAATGCGTTGTATTTATTGACTATATTGCAAGAAGTCTGCAAAATTCGTTACACGATAGCCTTAGAAATGCTAAATTTTATAGTGTATTGTGTGATGGTTCAACAGACAGTTCGGTAATTGAAAATGAAGTGGTGTATGCATTATATTTTGATCCACAGCCAGTTGGGTCGGATGCGGTTGAAATCAGGACTTCGTTTTTAGATATAAAATATTTAGAATCTGGAAAAGCCCAAGGTGTTGTAAAAGTTTTAGAAGAATGCTTTGTAAATTTGCTAACACCTATTAAATGCATTGGTTTTACTTCAGATGGGGCTGCACTAAATAGAGGCGATCAAAGTAGTGTGAAAACCATTCTACGCGAAAGAAGTCCGTGGCTTGTGTTTGTTTGGTGTGTTGCACACCGCTTAGAATTAGCAATTGCAGATGCTTTAAAAGATACAGAATTCGATCTTGTAGATGAAATTATATTACGAAGTTATTGCCTGTACCAAAAAGCACCAAAAAAGCTCCGACAGCTTCGCGAGTTATATACTGTTTTAAAAGACGGGATGGATACGCTTGATGAAAGTTGCAAGCCTAAAAAAGCATCTGGAACACGATGGATTTCTTATAAAGTTAATGCCATGAAGTCTTTCCTTGACAAATGGGGTTTATACATTACCCATCTTGAACAATTAGCTGAAGACCCATCGATTTTAGCTCCTGACAAAGCTAAAATGAAAGGGTATCTCCTAAAATGGAAAAAAGGAAAAATACCACTTCTATTTGCATTTTTTATCGATTTACTCGAAATTCCCTCAATACTTTCAATGTCTTTTCAGGATGATCAAGTTGATCACGTTCAAGTAATGAACTGTCTTACAAAAGCAAAGGAAAGATGGGTATTATTTGAGAAAAAAAGTCTCGAAAATTTGCCTAGAGTTGAAGATTTTCTTTCACAAATCAAAAAAAAAAACGGCAAACATTATTATCATGACATTGAACTTAAAGACTTTGAGCGTGAGTTTAAAATTTTTAAAACAAAAACTGTGGAGTATTTAACAGTAGTCAGGGACTGCATTATACAACGTGTAGAAAACGAAAAAGAAAGTACTCTTATTTTAAAGTATGCATCCCAAGTATTAAATTGCAACGGCTGGCTTCGGGAGGTTATAGCTGAAAGCGGAATCATAACGCGAAATTTAGATTTTGCCGATGAAGCTTTAAATTATATATGCAAACACTTTCAAGAGCCTTTACGCTCTGCTGCTGTTGTTTTTCCAGACATCTTAACTCAATGGAAAGAAATGCTAAGTTATGCTCAAGAGTTTTTATCCCCAGTTGAAACGCAATACCGAATTACCTGGCAACGCATATTTGTATCACCTAGAAGTAAATCATGGACCTCTATTTTAACAGTTGCTGAGCTATTGTTTACTTTGCCAATTTCTAACGCTAAGCTGGAAAGAATGTTTTCAAAGATGAAAAGTGTCAAATCAAATTATCGAACCTCATTGACAGAATCTTGTGTTTCAAATATTTTGCGCATTTTGGAAGATGGTCCATTGCTGAAAGAATTCAATTTTCTTCCTGCAATTGAATTGTGGTGGAGTGATAAAGGAAGACGCCCAAACCAAAAACCAACGGGAATTTATAAAGATCGGGTAAACAAAAAAAGAACAATTTTTTCCCTTAGCGACAGTGAAAATGATAGTGGAGAGGATCTTGTGAAATCTCTTTTTGATGACAATTAAAAGAAAAACATATTTTAATTGTGTAAAAATCTTTAAGCTTTAAAATAAATACAAAATACTGGTCTTGCTTTTATAATCAAACATATTCCTGACGAGAAAAGTTCGTTTATGTATAGACATTACGTTTGCACAATAAATAGCGTTAAATAGAGATAGTTAATACCAATACTCTAAAGTAAAAATGGTTAGCGCGATAGCAAACACAACTATTTATTATTATTATTTTATTAAAAACTGTTTTTATTCTTTTAGAAATGTTGTCGTTTTTTTTCAAAAAAGTCACAAGTTTTTAACTTGTAAGTCTAAACATGAAAGTATAACACGTTTTTTTTTTATACTTTCATAATCTAATTAACACCGCAATACTAATGACTAAGGGTGCACTGTTGCATCGGTCTTGGTAACCATTGGCCGATGCCGATTGTTTTGAAAAATGAGTCTTTTTAATTTTGTGTTTCTATATTTTATAAAAAAATATAATTATTATATTTTTTTATACAATATAGAAACAAAAAAATAAAAAAAATTGACTTTTTTAAACAATTGGCATCGGCCGATGCATTGGTGCACCCCTACTAATGACCGCACATACCAGTAGTAAATAATAAATCGGATATTAGTTTTATAGTAAAAATATTTTTTGTTGAAATTATATATATGTATATATATATATGTATATATATATATATATATATATATATTTTATTTATAGTATATATATTTCTATTATGCATTTAAATAGTTTTTTTAAATTTAGTTCCATCATGAAAGTTCATATCTATTAAGAGTTGCAACTGATGTAGTTAATCGAACAATTTTATCAAATCAGCAATATCTCCGGTAATTTTTTTAAAGTTTTTTTAATTAAAAAATTTTTTAAATTGCAAGTGATATTTTTATATTTAATTTGCAAGTGTTTTTATTTTTCTGGTGTCAGCTATTTGAACCTAAATGATTCAGACATCCAGACACATATTGATTCAGCCATCAATAGTGCATTTCTTTATGGTAGAATGAGAATCTCTGGAATCATCAGTTCAACTGTTTCTAACAATGAATCCAATGCTACATTAGTGTCTCAGCAAGTTGATAAGTTACTTGTGCATCTTCATGATGCTTGGATTGGAAAGGTAATTAAATATGAAAACTTTGTAATGCAATATTTTGTAATTATTTATAACTACTTTAACATGCATTAATATTAATAATATTGGTATTATTAACTTTGTGCAATCTGCTAGAGGAAGAACATGAAGAGCATTTTTAAAATGTACTTTAAGTTGTTGAAAAAGATATTATACAACTATAAAGAAAAATATATATCAGAATAGTATTATGATTTCTGATATAATTTCATTCAGAAATATATCAGAAATCATAATAGAATATATATATATATATATATATATATATATATATATATATATATATATATATATATATATATATATATATATATATATATATATATATATATATATATATATATATATATATATATATATATATATATATATATTGACTAGGGTTGGGGACAGGTTTGTGACTGGGGCTGCTTAAACATTTATACATCCTAAAGTATATTTTTTTTATGTCTAAAATTCATGTTATTTTTGTATTTATATGCATATATAAATGTCATTATGATCACCATAACCATCATCATCATCATCATGATCATCTTCATTAACATCATCACCATCATTGCCGTCATCAGGCTTTAGCTTTCCTTTTTTATGCTGTTTCCCTAATATATCTCGGCCTACAGCATTTTTTTCCCTTAACTAAAGCTCATTTGTACAATATGTAAGGCACTCACTTCAAGTTTTCTTACTTCTACCACTACCATTTTCTCCAGAAGCTGCTACCTCTCTACATGCTGATACCTAAATCACTTTAATCTTCTCTTACAAACATTGTTCGATACAACATTTTTTTAAATCTGTCTATTATATGTCTAGATTATGCCTCCTTTTCTTATCTTGTTAGACTCACACCACACATTCATTTGATCATCTTCTCTCTAAGCAAATACTACACTATATAAGTACTAAAGTTTATATAAATATGTAAAGATATTCTATGCCAGCATCTAAATAAATAGCAATATGTATATGTATATATAAATATATATATATATATATATATATATATATATATATATATATATATATATATATATATATATATATATATATATATATATATCAATATATATCAATATATATCAATATATATCAATATATATCAATATATATCAATATATATCAATATATATCAATATATATCAATATATATCAATATATGTATATATATATATATATATATATATATATATATATTATATATATATATATATATATATACATATATTGATATATGTATATATATATATATATAATCTTCATAAAAATTTTACATCTAAAAGTGGATCTATTTGCCGACGACTCAACTTTATACTCTTGTCTTGATAAAAAGTCCTCACTTTTTGATTGCTTAGAACAAACAGCAGATTATTAAGCTGATTTCTCTTCTGTAACAACTTAAGGCTTGTAGTGGCTTGTGGATTTTAAGTCTGGACTTAAAATCCACAATTTTTGTTAGATAACAAAACTCATTTTACTGCAAAAAAATATTGCAATATTGTTGGCATTCCTATATTGACGAATAACAACTATATATATATATATATAAATATATATATATATATATAATATATATATATATATATATATATATATATATATATATAAATATAATATATATATATATATATATATATATATATATATATATATATATATATATATATATATATATATATGTATATATATATATATATATATATATATATATATATATATATATATATATATATATATATATATATATATATATATATATATATATATATATATATATAAATGTTAGAGGTTAACATCAGGTTGGCAAAAAAATTTGACACAAAGGTTTTACTACAAAACGTAGAAATAAGGTCAGCAATTTTTTGCTGACCTTAAACATTTCGAGGTCAACAACAAACAACAACAAGCTATTTATTTTTCTATTTATTAATCATTTTACAATTGTTTTGATAATAATAATAATAGTAATAATAGCAAAAATATATAATAATAATATAAGATAAAAAATAGTTATACAAATTATAGTAATAGTAATAATAAGTATGTTTACAATAATTACAATGAAAAAAAAAAATAATAACTATTATTAATATAATAATAAGTTCATAATAATGCCAAAAAAATTTTATAAAAAGAATCAAAAGGTTCAGAATTTTTTTCAATTGATATTGTTTAAGATGGAGTAAAGGCATTTTAGGATATATTTTTTTGGACTCATTTAAAATGCATGCAAGGCTTCTGTTCCATTTACAGACACACTGATAAACTATAGAATGTTTACCATACTTCTGGGTTTTAAAAGATGATACATTTAGTTTTCCATTGTGAGCTTTCTGTGAAAGTTTGTGATAGAAGATGTTATGTTTTTATTTAAGTAGTCAAAAACAAAAAGAAGATTAGCATACTTTACTAGTGCTGGAAATGTTGGAATGAAATGTTTTTTGAAGGACTTTGACGTATCTGATTTAATTGGTTGGAAGTTTATTAATCTGATGGATTGACGCTGAGATGATAGCAACTTGTTAATGCGATAGTTTCCAACTTGACCCCTAACTTGACAACATAAGCTCAGATGAGATGAGAGTAATGCATAGTAAATAC